CAGTACCTACTCAGACGAACGCTACTAAATGACATACTAGAAAGATTAATACACTCATTTTGCTGAACTGGCGGATTAGTTAGTATACATGAAACTGTTAAAGTTCCATTCGTAATGATATTCTACATAACCAATCTGTGAAATATTGGTTCAGCGTTTATAAACAAAGTACCAGAGAGTGAAAAAAGATCCACAATTTTGGAAAGAGAAAATGTAATCATCAAGTTCGGTAGTAAGGTATCATGATAACTAACAAAACGAATCCAAACTCGGCACACCTAGTTATACTCATCCAGGAGTTCCAGTAGCAGTCACCGAAGTACACCTTCAGGTCACTCCATCAAATCAGGTGGTAAGCTCTCATCATAACTAACAAAATTAGCCCAAACTCGGCACACCTAGTTCTATTCGTCAAGAGTTCCAGTAGTAGTCACCGAAGTACACCATCAGGTTTCTTCAGAAAGCCCGGAGGTTAGGTCTCATCATAAATAACGAATCGAGCTCAAACTCGGCACACCTAGTTCTACTTGTCGAGGAGTTCCAGTAAAAGTCACCGAAGTACACATACAGATCACTTCATAAAGTCCAAGACGAATAGGCATTTACGAGGGTGACACTGAAAGTTCTTAGAAAATCAAAAAATGAACGACTTAGCAAGTTATTAGTTTTATTATATCTTTTCAAAATATTGTCCATTTATATCAATACATCGCTGCATCAGATGGAACCACTGAGAAAAGCACTTTGCTCACTCGTCCTTAGGAGTCTCTTCGATGGCATTTTGAAATGCAGCCACTGCTACGTCGGCGTCCATAAAAGTGTATCCGGAGCCAAAATTGACGAATAGGTACTCGAACACAAAGCGGCAACGTCGCATTCTGCGTGTCACAGAGAACGTTGGAGTAATAGCAGGCCTCTGTCACTCTTGCTACCTGCGTGAAATAATTACCTACAATCACGAGCTGCCCCAGGGGTAGATTGCAGTCGGGGCTAGCGCGCTCTATAATATTTAATGTTAAAGTTTTTTTTAACGCTGTTTACGTAAATAAATTTTTGTAAATACTTGTTGATATACTCATCGAAATAGTTTTTGTTTAGTGTTTAGTATATTTAATTGTAGGAAATAGTTGAAAAAGTTTTAATGTAATTTAAGAATAGTAATTTATATGTAAATTACCTATCTATTTGATAAATTATAATGGCAAAACGTCGTTCCTACTATAATTGTTGCGGAGATGGATGCTTAATGAGCAATTAAAAGGATTCAGATATGTATATCATTTTTTCTTACCGAAGGATAATAAAAGGTAAATTTATTTCATTTTTTATTTTATTTATTTTATTTTATTTGGAAGACCAACAGCTATCATAATTAGGATAGATAATATTAAAAACTACAGTAAGCCAGTTAAAGGTCCTCACTAATAGATACAAAGGTGAATTTGCAACAGTGATAAACACGATTCAACACTCAAGAGTATCCAATTCTAACATATTTATGACAAATGAGGGCTTATCTGTAATAACATGTATTATACATATAAAAGAGAAAAAATAAACACAAACATAGAAGAAGTAAATCGTTAGTTTTGTAACAAACGCATCAATATCTCACTTTGAGCTAAAAAATGCATTATTAAGTATGCGCTTGGCCGACGCATCGCTAGTGTTAAACAAATCGAAGTCAAACTCATTGGCTAACTTGTTAAAGTTATTGCTCGCTCGCCAAATAAATGTATTTTGTCTGTAATTTGTAGATGCAAACGGGAGACTTAAAAGTTTGTTGTGTCTAAGAGGTTTGGCAGGACAGCTAAGATGTAGTTGAGATAAAAGCTCAGGAGAGTCAATAGCACTACAGGCTATTTTTAACAGAAAAGTGAGATCAGCAATCTCGCGGCGCTTATCAAGAGGAAGAAGGTGATGCTTCTTACAATAACTAATATAATTATCAGAGGTATAGCGATAGTCTTTGGTTCTATAACAGAGGTAACGGATAAACTTTCTTTGGATATTTTCAATTCGGGTAATATATGTTGCATACATGGGATTCCAGATTTGAGATGCGTACTCTAAATTACTTCTTACAAGAGAACAATATAGGATCTTTAGAGTTTTAGGCTTAGTGAAATCCTTAGAGCTACGCATCAAAAATCCAAGAGCTTTCGAAGATTTGGCTATAATGCTTTCTAAATGAGCGTCAAATATTAATTTAGAATCATGAAGAACACCGAGATCTCTAACAATGGAATCCCTTTTAAGATTTTCACCTTTTAGTTTGTAGTTAAAGACAATCGGTTTATATTTGCGACTATAGGACATAAAGCTACATTTAGAAAAATTCAAATCTAAGTAGTTTAGGTGGCAATAACGCTCTAGATTTGACAGATCTTCTTGTAAAGCTTCAGCATCATCAATCGATGTTATTTTCAAAAAGAGCTTCATATCGTCGGCAAAATATAATAAGCGAGCTTTCTTTAGATAAAAGGTAATGTCATTGATAAAAATAACAAATAATAACGGTCCCAGCAGTGAGCCCTGTGGCACCCCACTTGGAAGAGTTACCCATCCTGATATGTAGTTGCTGACGACAACAGCTTGCGATCGATTATTTATATAAGACGTGAACCACCTAAGCAGATCGCCGTTTATACCGATCTTGGACAATTTCAGTAATGGCAAATTATGTTGTATTCTGTCAAAGGCTTTACTATAATCGGTATAAACGACGTCTACCTGGTGGCGATTGTCCATTGCTTCCGTCAAGAAAGCATTAAAGAGCGCAAGATTTGAAACAGTAGAGCGTCCTCTTAAAAAACCATGTTGAGTTGGATTGAATGAATGCTTTAGGCCCTCGTATAACTGATTATAAATAATTCGTTCAAACACTTTAGATACAATGCATAACTTGGAAATCGGTCGATAATTAGTAACTTCGGACTTGGAACCCTTTTTATGGACAGGCGTGATAAATGCGCGCTTCCAGATAGAAGGAACAATACCTGTACTAAGAGACTTTTTAAATAAAATGGTTAGAGGTACACAAATTGTATGCGCACAGTTAATTAGAAAATGAGCTGGAAGATTATCAGGACCAGCAGATTTCGTTGGATCCAACGTTTCATGCAATTTATTGACCGTATTTTCGTTTATATCGATTGAGGTGATATCTACACTCAACTGAGACGACGTTGGAGAATCATTATAATAATTTTCGGACAGCTGAGTATTACTATCACCCGAATCCAAAAAATTTGAACGAAAATAATTTGAAAAAGCATTACAGATAAGTTCACCAGAGTTCATTACAGAACCTTCAAATTTAAGACAACTAGGTATTGAATGTGATTTTGATTTTTGTTTAACATACGACCAGAAGTGTTTAGGATTAGCACTAATCGAATTTTCCACAGAGGTTATGAAAGATTGGTATGCTAACTTTTCTAATTTCCTTACACGCTCACGCAATAGCTTAAAAGTTTCTTCGTCATGCCTACAGCCATAGATCCTAAATTCACGTAAAAATTTATGTTTTTCTTTAATAGCTTTTTTAAGTGGCGCTGTATACCATTTAGGATAAGTATCAGCAACAATTAATTTTGAGGGGATATATTTATCTCTAAGTGACGTGAATGTGGTATAAAATATTGCACAGATTCTTCTAAAGATAACGGAGACATAACTTCATCCCATTGAATGTTGGCAATCTCACCATTTACTGAATAATAGTCACCTTTATGATATAAAAACTTAAGGCGAGAATTGCTATTTAATGACTCACAATCAACGTTATCAAAATATATTAAAAGAGCACCATGGTAAGGATCAACAGGAATAAGAGAATCTGCACTTATATCACGAACGGTTACAGAGTCGCTAGAAAAAACAAGGTCAAGGATCCTGCCATGGGCATTTTTTATACCATTAAATTGTCTCAAATTTAGTGAACTTAATTCGTCTATTAATGAAGTTTCGTTTCCCGAACGAATATTTGTACCTAAAAATGAACCGTCGGCGGCGTCAGTGTCAGGCACCCATGTAATATCACTAAGATTAAAGTCGCCAACTAATAAAAAACTATCATCCGAGTGACTCATCACAATTTCGCTAACCTAGTGCAGATAATTTTGAAGTTGAGCAGCAAAACTGAGACTCCGATTTTCGTTACACAAATATAAGATACAAATATGCAAATTCGTGTGCTTTTTACGGGTGTTATGGTGAATAGACAACGTTAACCATAGATCCTCAGCACTTGAATGAAAGGAAGGCTGCGGAATAATTTCTAGATTCTTACGCGTCGCAATCAAAACGCCACCACCGTATTTCTGACCTGTAACTGTGTAATTTCTATCACGCCGCCATACAACATATCGGTTATCAAATAATTCCGTATCACTAATTCTGTCCAGGAGCCAAGTCTCCGTAATTAATATTATTTCATAATCACATATAAGAATATTACGATAAAATATGTCCGTTTTAGTGCGCAAGCCTCTTGCGTTCTGATAATATATTCTCAGGTTGTCACTGCCACACCCTACACCTACACTATTATTATGTAGCACAGCCATTTTTAATCCTATCGATAACCAAAGTAATTTTACTATAATAAAATAATATATATATCCCGTCATATTTCAAAAACCCGTTAATTAAAGTAATAAACAATGCACCAATATTTAAAAATTCACTAAGGCTATGATAAGTTAGCATATAGTATTTACAAACGGGTAGAAAAAATAAAAATGTATCACGTAATGAGTGCGAAGTGTGTTGCATACTTAAACGACCGTCAACAGAAGCGAGCAACTGATAACCGGTAAGCAAATTTAACAAATAGCGATGCATCAACGAAGCAGGTAAGGCAGGGGTAACAAGCATTTTGTAACTGTTTAAAAGCAGCTTCGTAATATCATAAAAGTAAAACTTAATTATACATAGGTAAGAATAGTTAATAAAATTAAAAGAGATAATAAACAAAGATATTAATAAACAATAGATTAAGCTATTTTGTTTAAATCAGCCTCTTTTGCAATAATTAAAACCGGCGAAGTATCATTTTTACGTATATGAATTTTTCCGTATTTGACCCAGATATAAGAATAACCTCGGTCTTTTGCTAAGGTCCTTGTTTTGGTAAGAAGTTTTTTGTGCTCTGGAGTCAAATGATCATTTACGAAGACGCGCTGACGATTGCCTCCAAATCCAACATCCTTCGCCTCTAGAGTTTTGCACGCGCGCGCTGCCGCTACTAATTCTTCTTTGACATAACGATTTATGAAATTAATAATGATGGCCTTCTCTTTGGTATTAAACATTGGTACTCGGAATATGTAATTGATTTGAGATATATGGAATTCATACCCAACTGCTTTACCCATAGACTCCGCGATTTCAAATAAGTTTTCATTGGGCTTTAGAGGGATGCCCTTTACCTCAACATTACTAAGCCGTGACCATTGTTCCTTTGTCTCAATAACACTTTTAAGATTTGATATCTCCTTGTTGGCTACAGCGAGAGAATTTTGAATCTTTTCTATCTGAGATACACCACGTTCCAAACTGGAGACTTGATCTTGAAAAGATTTAAGTGAACTATTGTTGTACTCACAAGACTCTTTCAGATGGTTTAATTCAACTTTAATAGATTTGATGTCCTCGATAAGACTTGGAACTGTAGTAACCAGCTTCTTCATCTCGCGAATCTCCTTAAGAATAACATCCAAGGTCGCCGACTCCCCACCAGTATCGCCACCAGGAGTGACCTCGGAACTTGAACGGGAGGGGCTGAAGGAAACCATTTTGCATTGAAGGCATTTCCATTGAGCTCTTCGATCTGCTCCTAGGTTCCGAAAACCTCGCTCCGTTATACCAGCACAACCAAAGTCGTAGCGCTTTTTACAAACGTAGCATTGCGCTCCATCGTTGAACTCTTTTGAACATGATTCACAGATATTCATCGTTGAAGTAACAGTATCAATGACTACAGTTACGAAGTAAAAAGGTTGGTGATATATGCTGTATATCGTATGACGTAGATAGTGGATACGTAAACAAGAGTGCAATCTTAAACTATACGCGTGCGCCTGTGTCGTGCGCTCACTGCAGACTGACTGACTTTAGTTAGGTATGTACTTATAGCGAAAAAATAATTGAGTAATAATTTAACTACAGAAGTAATACCTAAGTATTTTATTACAAAACTTAGTTAAAATTTATTTCACTACCCAAGTACCTACTTACATACCTATACTCGTTTTGGAATTAAAATATTTAAGTTATAATAGCACAAAATACTGAAATTAAAACTTTGTTTACAAGATTTTCAACAGTTACGATCATATTTCTGTTAGGAATCGTATTTCGGGTTTATTTGTTGTTTACGCAATCTACCTATACGAACCAAGCGTCGCGATTCTCGACGAATGGCCTCGCAAGTTGCATGCGTTGAGTATCACATAACTTACATAGTAGATAATATGGCCAATCATCGTCAGAATATAAACTATCTAAGTATCTTACCATTTCACAATGTATTTTTTTACTCTTTATTAACGCAACCACGGAAATTCCGTTGTGACGTAGTAAGGAAAAAAGACGCAAAGTAATACGGACGATCGCGCGCAGCGATAAAGTTTTATTTAGCTTGGATGCGCGATTTATCTGATAAATAATAACTATGCAGGCTATTAAATCGTCGCTAAGCAGTCAACATCAAAAGAGTGCAACTTATGTACGTACGTACGACGTTCATAAATAAAATGCTGAAATGTTTGTTAAGTAGTAAGTTGTGACACAAAAGAACTTAATTTTTTATTCTGTGATGTAAGTCAGGTTGCAACAAGGTTGCAATTTTATTATGTTTTTAATGAGTATTTTGCATACCTTAAGCGAAAGCGCAAGGTATGTTCTACTATCGCCTAAAAATTAAGATTCCAACGTTTTATAGAATAAAATTGTATCTAGCAATCATATTATACATATAAATGATATAAAAAGCACGTTAGAAAGATAAATGATTGTTGAACTTATTAATATATTTTTTAAATCGATTAATTGCTATTCTTAAATAAAAAAAGGGGTTTTAGTGGCTAATGGTGTGGATTTATCATGCCCCCCAAGGCTTGTAAACACAATAATTTTGAAAATATCAATTGTTTAACTCAATCTATTATTTAATCTCTTCATCTATCATGTGGGAAGCCACTGAATGTAAATGGCAGTGTAATTTTGTTTTGTTTAGCCATAAACAATTTTTTTCGGCTCCAAAATGGCAAAATTTTCGTTGATTTGGTAACCTTGTATGTAAATTATTTCTGTAAATGGGGAACTACAGCCACAGGGTAGTTTACTCACACTCAGTTTGGCGTCAATCGCAGTCGTGAGTGGACATTGTTTCGGTTGTTTGCAGCGGCTCAAAAAGATCGCTGTATAAATGCACAGTATTCGAATAACCAAATTTCTTATATACTTGATTATAATAATAATAAGAGATTTTTTTATTACAATATTTTAAAAGCACAGAATAAATAACAGTAGTACGTACTAAAAGTAAGTAGTATCAATTTTTTTGTTATGGGTGAAATTTTCATGGTTTTCGAGAGTGTTGAAACCGATAGGGTTGTCGAAATGTAAATCCAAGATGGCGGCCGCAATAAGTATCAATTTTTGACGTGACAACGTCTTTTTATTCGATGAAGCTGGCAGCATGCACGAAAAAACATGACTAATGCGGAGTTACCTCGCTCTGAGGCGTTCCATTTAAGGCTTGAAGTGCAAGCAAGAGCGCGGGACGAGCGACAAAGAGGCACAATCGGCGTTGTCACGTTCAACTATCGTCAGTAAACCGACTTTACAGACAACCGATGTTTTTTTTCATCATGGGTGTCATTTTCATTGTTTTCGAGGGTACTGAAGTCGATAGTGCTGGCGAAATGTAAATCCAAGGTGGCGGCTGCAATAGGTATAATTTTTTTCATCATGGGTGTCATTTTCATGGTTTTCGAGGGTGTTAAAGCTGATAGTGCTGTCGAAATGTAAATCCAACATGGCGGCTGAATTAGGTACCAATTTTTTATCATGGGTGTCATTTTCATAGTTTTCGAGGGTGTGGAAGCTTATAGTGCTGTCGAAATGTAAATGCAAGAAGGCGGCTGAATTAGGTACCAATTTTTTCATCATGGGTGTTATTTTCATAGTTTACGAGGGTGTTGAAGCCGATAGTGCTGTCGAAATGTAAATCCAAGATGGCGGCTGCAATAGATATCAATTTTGTCATCATGGGTGTCATTTTCATGGGTTTCCAGGGTGCTGAAGCCGATAGTGCTATCGAAATGTAAATCCAAGATGGCGGCTGAAGTAGGTACCAATTTTTTCATCATGGGTGTCTGTTTATGCCCAAATTTGGCCATGTTAAACGCGCTCCAATTGCATTCGAGCTGGCGCCTCACCCGATGGTATGTAGGTGAGATAAGTGCCGAGGTGGGGCGCCCGTGCGCTGCGTGGGCAGTCAGTCGCTCGACGCGTGGGCAGTCTGTCGCTCGACGCGTGGGCGAAACATCGGTGCCCCGCCAGCCACGAGGCGGGGAGACCGTCAGATATGTGAATTGTGCGGTATTTAACTTGTTCGGGGATGCGAAATTGTGCACGCGCGCGTCGAGTAGATATACGGTCTAGGGTTCGAACCGCGCATTCCTCGTTCGAGAGCTTCTCCCGGTTGATCATCAGGAAATCATTATAATCGTGTCGTCGCGTTAATTGCCCTTTTTTGTGTGTGTTGGCTTGATAGTTTACGTGTCAACGAGGCGTATTTTGACTCTGGCGCGACGTGTTATTCTGGTGCCGAATTTATAATTTGTGATAAGTGAATCCGGGACATTCAATGTCGAATTTTGTGCTTCTGTCCTTGCCGTGTCGGATATCACGTGTTCGATTCTGCGATGAGGGTGGATTTAGGCGAATTGAAGTTAGTTAAATATACAATGAAGCTAAGAGATTGAATAGTGACAGTGAAGAAAGAAGTGGTCCGGCGCTGAAGCAGTCTGGAGCGATGCAGCATTTTGGAGCAGCCTGGAACTCGGTCACTGCTGGTCGCCTATTCTTGCCAAGGCCCCACACATTCACACCTCACTGTACACTACTCGCCATCCACTATTACACACACTCACGGCCTGCCCAAGCCTTGGTGCGAAGTTAGCTTCGGATAATGGTAAGTACTATGTGTTTCTAGCTTTCTCCCATATAGTTTATTGTGATAGGAAATTCCATGTGGCCACGTGGCCCCGTCCCTCTGCTGCCCGTCGATGGGTTTACTCATGGGCCCTAGTCCCGTCAACCTTTGTTGGGGCAGCTAGGGGCGTGTACAGTGTCATTCTCATAGTTTTCGAGGGCGTTGAAGCCGATAGTGCTGTCGAAATGTAAATCCAAGATGGCGGCTGAATTAGGTATCAATTTTTTCATCATGGGTGTCATTTTCATGGTTCTCGTGGGTGTTGAAGCCGATAGTGCTGTCGAAATGTAAATCCAAGATGGCGGCTGCAATAGGTATTCATTTTTTCATCATGGGTGTCATTTTCATAGTTTTTGAGAGAGTTGAAGCCGATAGGGTTGTCAAAATGTAAATCCAAGATGGCGGCTGCAATAGATATTAATTTTTTCATCATGGGTGTTATACTCATGGTTTTCGCGGGTGTTGAAGCCGATAGTGCTGTCGAAATATAAATCCAAGATGGCGGCTGCAATAGGTATTAATTTTTTCATCATGGGTGTCATTTTCATAGTTTTTGAGAGAGTTGAAGCCGATAGGGTTGTCGAAATGTAAATCCAAGATGGCGGCTGCAATAGATATAAATTTTTTCATCATGGGTGTTATTCTCATGGTTTTAGCGGGTGTTGAATTCGATAGTGCTGTCGAAATGTAAATCCAAGGTGGCGGCTGCAATAGATATAAATTTTTTTCCTCTTGGGTGTCATTTTCATGGTTTGCGAGGGTGTTGAAGCCGATAGTGCTGTCGAAATGTAAATCAAAGATGGCGGCTGAAGTAGGTACCAATTTTTTCATCTTGAGTGTCATTTTCATGGTTTTCGAGGGTGTTGAAGCCGATAGTGCTGTCGATGTTATACGGAATTTTTTTAATGCGCTTAAGGTATGCCCAATTGGATTTACTAATATTTTTAATTTTGTTTGTGGTTATTGTTTTGATATAGTGAAGCAGTGTTTTTGTATTGTTATTATTTAGTTGTGAGGACTAGTGACTTATTAGTAAGTCAGTGTTTTTGAATTTTGTTTGAGATTATTGTTTGTAAATAGTAAAGCAGTGTTTTCGTTTTTAATTTTTTTTAAGTCTAGTGACTAGCGACTTAAAAGTAAGTTAGGTTGCAATGTTACTGATTATCATATTTCTTTTCTTTTATTGAAGCAGTGTTTTTGTTTTTCAAGTGTTTTAATTTTTATGAATATTAGCAGTTTCCTACGACTTCGTCCGCGTGCAATTTCTGATTTCCTATGAGATTATAAAATTTTCCCACTGGAAGAGACCTATCGTCAAAAGTCCTACCCCTCGAGCTAGTAAAAGCCGCGACTTTGTAACCATGGAAGTCGCAATTTACATAATTATTATAATATTTTTTTACACTCATTCAATTTTTTTTTGAAAAAAAAAAGTTGTCGGTTCTATTTTTTCAAAACTTCCCTGTAAACAACATTTCTAGATTTAAGTATATAGGTACCAACACAAAAAATACCACTGCAGCCGAACTTCATAAGACTTTCATCCAACATTTCAACCACCATTTCACACCCTTAGGAGCGGATTTTCGCACTTTTTGCAGTTTTTAAAAGTAAGCGTCAATAAGGTTTCTACATTTATTTGAAAATATCCGTTAATCTACATTTATTTGAAAATATCAGTTAAATTGAATGTAATTTATGGACAATAACAGCGCACGCTCGGGTGTGTAA